ACCAGAAATTATTTCCACTACTAATTAATTACCATTGAGCTCAAAGGTCCTATTAATAAACGGTTAAGGAATGTGTATTTATGAAGACGATTTGTGAGACTGGTAAACTTATGATATGTACGATGGTCTTTCATTCTACACGGTGCATTTCAAGGTCCTGTACCCATCCGTCGGTAAACTGTACCTGGGCTTGTTGCAGTGACCTGAAGTTACTAAATTTCATGAGTGTATGCACTCACTCCAAGAACCGTATGATTATAAATATGAGCGTGGTGAAAGTTGGGCAGCACGCTAACGTATTTTGTCCCTCTGTGTGCTCGTAAGGGTCTGACCCTTTCACTGGTTTGATTTTTTTCCTCGTATCTTTTCTTTGACTTTTCATCAAGTCTGTCTTTGTACAGACCGGCATTGTTCTCCTTCGTTTTGTACATACCTTTTTGGGGGGCAAAGAAAAAGCAAGAATTTATTGGAACCGGAGAATGAACGTTTTGCGGTGCTGCAAATGCTTGCGTTTGATGCAGGTACTTGGATTGTTTTGCCACGAGTTACCGGCATGCAATGCGCGAAAGTCATGTGGTCTGTCAATCTCTATAGGGCTTTGGAGTTGATGTAATGCCGCAATGCATTGTGGGAGCACGGCGCCATTTGAGAAGGCCATGAATCAAAACAAACACACTGTGTTGGAAGGACGACTGCCAGAACCATGCTTAAAATCAGCTCAAAAGTCAAATGACTGTATCGAGAGCAATTGAGCCCGGACGCCAAGAGACTGTAGTTGGAAACAATAGCATGCATCGGTTGTGGACCCGTATAAAATACGGCAGTGGAGTAGAAACCCTGGAGACCTTCCACCATTGTCCTACCCTAATACCTTGTCGTACCTTGTCTGTGGAGTCAGCGCATACACTGCAAATCATTTTTGGAATTATAAATCCCTGGAGGTGCACATCTAATTCACAGACGGTTGGGTACAAGATTTGGCCATTTTTAAGCCTCCACGTTGTGAGTAGGTTGACTATATGACCAAGATACAGCCAGAGGTCGCACATAACATTGGCTTCTCCTCAGCAGCTGCCCCAAAAATTGCTCTAGATGAGAACATAAACACACCGCCTGCACTGAAAGGCAAAAGGAGCCGTCCGCAAAAAAGGCAAATTCCACCTGCTAGTCTGGAGGAGTTGTCACTGATAAGCTACTCCATAAACAGAACATAATTCTGCTGGATCACACATTAGGATGTTTGAGCCTATAAAGAGCAATATGAACATACTGAAATGAAAATGTCGGGAGCACATCAACAAAAAATAATGGCAGAAAACTCAATATCAGCTCATCTCACCGCTGCTATCCAAGCCTGACGTCTTCGTTTGGTAACATACATGAGATCCCTCGCGTTGCTTCCAGCAGGGGAAACGATAAAAAGATTATTCCTTATTCCCTTCCCAATTGTGCAATATAACATTGCAACCGACAACACAGCAAGTGCGAGCCATAGCTGATGTTTCCATGTGCTGTTGCTCCTGTAGCCCTTTGTTTGGCCTACTAACATGGCGGCTCAACGCAAAATTGTGGCCACGCCCCCTCCCGTGACGTCAATTCCAAAGCCCTATTCACAGTTGCAGCAAAGAATTGTTAAAAGTAAAAAACAGCAGCACACATCAGGACCATTTTAAAAGATTACAGATTACTTCTTTCTTTTTTTTTAAAGTTAATTCAAATTCTATTTAACTTCTACTTTTGGCTCCTCCTTTCATTTGAGTGTATTTACTGTATCCCTGAAGTCCAAACGTTGTTTTATGATCCAGATGTTCAGGAGCTGTTGATTTCTGCTTGTTGATTTTAAGTTTGTATTGTCAAAGCATTAGTTAAATTTGATTAATTCTGTGTAAAGTTCTTGTTATT